TCCTGGATGTGTAAAAAAAAAAAAGCAGGCTAAGTAAGCCATGAGGAGCAAGCCAGTAAGCAGCATTCCTCTGTGGCTTCTGCTTCACTTTTACCTTGAGGTCCTAGCCTGACTTGCCTTGGTGATGGACCATGACCTGTGTGTAAAACTGTAATAAGCCCTTTCCTCCCCAAGCTGTCTTTAGTCATGGTATTTTATCACAGCAATAGAAACCTATGCAGCTAAGAAATAACACGAGTCTGTAGGGCATGATAGTACACCCCTACAGTTGCAGCTAAGGCGAGGAGGGGAGATTTCTTGAGCGCAGGAGTGCAAGATTAGCCTGGGAAACACAGGAAGTCTTCATCTCAAAGATTAAGGAGAAAAATAAAAGCCATCAGCAAGAATATGTATTTCTTGAACCCGATGTGGTTGCACAAACCTGTAATCCTAGCATCAGGGGACAAGAGGACTACCACAAGTTCACGGACACCCTGGCCTTCACAATGAATTCCAGGCCAGCCAGGACCACATAGTGAGAAGAAAGGGAGAGCGGGAGGGAGGGAGGAAAGAGCAGAACACTGATGGCACACTTCCTGAGAGGATGCTCAGTGACAAGCTTCTGGAACTGAACCTACTAAGTAGGCAAAAGATAAACTGAAAAGTTCTAACTTAGCTAATGGGGTATGCTCTTTGAGAATGAATGATTATCTCTCTGCTAAGACAATGCAAATTCAATTATAATGCTAATATGAGCTGTCTGTTTATACTGCCTGTCACTGCACAAAGGAAAAGACAATATTGTGGTCCAAATGTAGAAAGGTTTTAGCTTCTTATAAATGATGAAAAATTCAAACAAGATGCTCGTAGCTTCCTAGCTGGACGACAACACCTGGTCTACCACCTTAATTGACAGCAAACACTTGAGTACATGTAAAACGTATATGAACTAAATTCATCTCAAAAGGGAATGGTACACGAACATTACCCAGGCATTCAGGATTCATTTAGGGGAAGAAAACGCATTAAAAAAATAAAAAGAGCCACTGTAAATCGACAAATCACGGCCACTCTAAACAGAATTACATGTAAGTGAAAACAACAGATCGGTGGGAGAGTGCTTGTTGTACAAACCTGACCTCCACATACAAGCCACGACATGCACACACAACAGTAATAAAGTGCTGCTGTGTTGCACACATGAACTCATAGTATATGTGACTGTATAAGACCTGTACAAGTTCAAGACAGCCAAAATCCCACCATGGTGACAATGGGGTCTGAAAAAAGTCTCACCCCTACCTGATGAGGAAGCATCAGTTTTTTTTAAGAGATGTGGTCCCTGAAAGCTACCTATGCTCTATTACAGCGATTCTCAACCTGTGGTTAGCAACCCCTTTGCCGGTCAAGAGACCCTTTCACAGGGGTCACACAAGACCATCAGGAAACACAGATACTTACACTATGATTCCTAACAGGAACACAATTACAGTTATGAAGGAGCAACAAAATAATCGTATGGTTGGGGTCATCCCAACAGGAGGAGCTGTGTTCAAGGGTCGCAGCGTCAGCAAGGTGGAGAAGCACTGCTCTAGCAGGCGGCCCTACCCTCTGCACATCCTGCAGCACTACGTGGACACACTGGATTTAAAAGAACAAAGAGGCAGAGAGCGAGCACGTGAGGTTGGGAGGAGAAAAGTGGGGAGCAGGGGAAGAGACGGAGGGAGGGGTGGGAGTGGATATGAACAAAACACATTATGTGCATGGATGACAGAGACAGAAAACTGTAATAACGTGCGTGTGTCATCAGCAGTATGGACAGCTGTCCTCTCTTTACTGTCTTATCATCTGGCACTGCATTCCTGTTGTAACTTGCTAGTTCGGAATTAAGAGTTCCAAAAATCGCCGGGCGGTGGTGGCGCACGCCTTTAATCCCAGCACGCGGGAGGCAGAGCCAGGCGGATCTCTGTGAGTTCGAGGCCAGCCTGGGCTACCAAATGAGTTCCAGGAAAAGGCGCAAAGCTACACAGAGAAACCCTGTCTCGAAAAAAAAAAAAAGAGTTCCAAAAATCTTCAATTTGCAATTCTGTGCTGTGCATCTTTACCTGTGCTATATTTGTCATTTAGTCTTCTGAGGTAGAGTTGGGGCTCAGAATCAAACTCAGGATACACATACGCCAGCTAGGCACTCTACCACTGAACTACACTCTCAGTCTGTAATTTATTCTGAAATAATTTCATAAATTGCCTTTGCTTTTTTTTTTTTTTTTTTTTTGGTTTTTCGAGACAGGGTTTCTCTGTGTAGCTTTGCGCCTTTCCTGGAACTCACTTGGTAGTCCAGGCTGGCCTCGAACTCACAGAGATCCGCCTGGCTCTGCCTCCCGAGTGCTGGGATTAAAGGCGTGCGCCACCACCGCCCGGCCTGCCTTTGCTTTTAATGTTTTGAATATTCACATAGATAAGTGTTTCATTTCTTCCTAATTTTTCCTTCTTTTCCATTTTGAGACAGAATCTCATTCTACAGCCCAGGCTTGCCTCAAACTCAGCACATCCTCCTGACTTAGCCTTGTGAATGTGGGAACTACAGGCATGGGCCACACCAGGCTCTAGTATGCCTTCTAAATTAAGAAACTCCTCGTTCCTTACTTAATAGTCAGTGGTTCTGAAAAGTATTTTTAAAATACTTAATCCACAGGAAATATTTTATCAAATAAAAATGTAAATTTCTTTTCTAAAATATTTACCAATTTTCTAACATGACCAGTTACTAATAATCTTTCACCTCCTGATGTATGATGATGTATTTCTAAAATCTTATATATGAGGGCCTAAATAATTACAATCATACTTTAATGATCTATTCTTACATTAACATCAGATTAATTTTCCTCTACTACCCTTTATAGTTCTAAATTCATTTTTGTTCTTCTTAACTCTAAGTGTGTATGTTTTTGAGACAGGATCTGAGCACTCAGCATAAGCTAGCCTGGAATTCCCTACCTTCTGCCTCAGCCTCCTGAACGTGGGAACTGCAGTCATGCACCACACCTGCCTCACCAACAATTTAAACAAAGATTATGTATCTACCCCATTACTCTACTAGACTTTTACTGAATTACATAAACCCGTAATTTACTGTCTGTCTTTTACAGGGGATTTTTTTGCACAGGGTCTCACATAGCTCAAGCTGCTTCACATGTTATGTAGCCAAGGATGATTTTGACCTCCTGAACCACAACACATTAAAATCCTCTTTCTCCCGAAGGCTTTTCCACACTCCTCCCCCTCTGTTAGGGTCCCTCTACTGTGAACTGTTCCCTCCCTCCTACACTGAGCGCTCACTTCTACGGCCCTCAGGGAGGAAAGATGTGCCACTACATCTACTCTGGTCATCTTAGCTGAGCTCTTGGAAATTTTAAGAAATTTTAAATTTACAGTTTAGGTGAAAACACAGAAGACTTCACATTGAATAAAAAGATAAGGAGAAAGGCCATATTCTCATTAAGTTTTGCCAAATTTGATTTCTTTAGATTAATAAAATAAAAAAATATTAAGAAGCCAAACCAGGAAAATACTTTTATGGAGATAACTATTCCAGGGAGTGACCGATATTCACCTGCTTCAAGACATACAGAAGGGGCTACAGCCCAGTGGTAGAACTATCTAGGAGGAATGCAACTAGTGGGTCCATTCCCAACCAAAGGAAAAAGTCCACAAGGGGATATAAGCATTGGCTTTTAATTTAAACTATATCCTTGAGATAGCAGTAAGACTGGTTTAGAAATGATGCCAGCAAGCCAGGCAGTGGTGGTACACACCTTTAATCTCAGCACTTGGAAGGCAGAGGCAGGTGGATCAGGTGAGTTTGAGGCCAGCCTGGGCTACAGAGCAAGTTCCAGGGCAGCCAAGACAGTTACACAGAGAAACTATGTCTCAAAAAAAAAAAAAGTAAAAAGAAAGAAAGAAATGATGAGAGAGAGAGAGAGAGAAACAAACAAACAAAACCCCTACACATTACCCCCTGAACAAGAAAAACAGAAATTTAACATTATCAAGAATATTTTCTTCATAACCCTAAAATGGACAGAATTTCAAATATTTAAAGAATAGCTGGGTGGCGGTTTGAATGAGAATGGCCCACATAGGCTCACAGATTTGGTCACGAGGGAGTGGTGCTATTTGAAAGTATTAGGAGGTGTGGCCTTGTTGGGGGAAGTGTGTCACTGGGGCTGGTCTTTGGCTTCGAGGGTTCAAAAGCCCGTGCCAAGCCAGAGTCTTTCTCTCTCTGATTAGCATGCAGCCCCTAAGCTACTGATGCAGCTCCTGCTTCCCTTCCACCATGATGATGATGATGGACTAAACCTCTGAAGCTGTAAGCAAGCTTTCTTTACAGAATTGCCATGGTCACTGTGTCTCTTCACAGCAACAGAATCCTAAGACAGGCTGTTGGGACCAGAGAAGTTGTTTCTAATGGAGCACTAAACTTACTGTGATTGCCTCCAAAAGTAGCAGAACTGAGTGTCCAAGGCCTCAGAACTTCTACTTCATAGAAAGGGTTCCCCACAGCTAGCTCTATTTTAAGATAAAGATTATTCTGGACTCTAGTCCTTCACAGCTGCATACACCTTGATCCCAGCACTTGGGAGGCAGTGGCAAGGAGGACAGCTGCAAGTTCAAGGCCAGCCTGGTCTACATAGCTAGTTTCAGGACAGGTAGACTTAGAGAAGCAAAATCATTTCAACCCTCAAAAGTGCAACAAAACAAAAACCACAAGACACTACAGTTTTGTTCCAAAATGGTATTGCTGGAATTATTAAAGTAATGTTAATTTTATTTCTTGTATGATGGATATGATTTTGTTTTAAAATTTTAGTCTAATATCCACATTTTCCCAGATGTTCTAAAATGTAATGTTACAAAATGTTACCTCAATTACATCCTCCACTATTTATCCCAAGGCTTATAAACATCTTCCAAATAAAAATACCAAAAATTTGTCATTACAAATAAAAACTACTCACCATGATACCACCATTTTGTTTTCTTTGGATTCTTGTTACATGTTCGCACATAAAAGGAATTATCTGGCGGTCGTCTCTGAAACAAATAGAGTTTAAATATTAAATAGGTAATTTCTGAAAGAAAATGACAGAAGTGAGTTTAGCAAAATTATTATAGAACACATAAAAAAAAACAATAGAAATACTAAAAGCCTGACTCAAGAAGGGATGCCTCAATTGTTTAGGAAGGGGGTGTGGAAAAGGTTAGCTCCACTAAATGATGTCCAAACTCTTCATACTTTTCTCTCCCATCAAGTGATTAATGACTACTTACATGAACTAACTAAACAAAAAGCTACCTACCTAAGGTTATCTGAAGAACGACAGCAACTTTCAAGTACCTGCACAGGCTTGTTGTTTTATTGTAATGCATTAAGGACAGAGAGACGGCATCTAAGACGAAAGATGTCTTAGTCTTGTGTGGACCAGAGGCCTTTCTCATCTGCCCTGACTGGAACAGTATGGAGAACCTTGCAGCTCTGCAGGACACCTTGGCCAAGAGTGATGCTAACCACACAGAAGGAAGACTGGAGAGACCCTGAATGAAAACTACTGCGTATCAGGTGTGACTTCTCGTCAAGAGTTCAAATGTCAAGTTTATACTAATGCTATATTGAGAGGCGGCTATATTCTAATATAGCATTAGTATAAACTTGACATTAGGATTATAATTAAGTTCCTTATTTCCTTTTCTCGTATCTAGTAAATGTTAAATTTTATCAAACTCACAGAAATTCTGACTCTTAAATTATCATCATTGTTAGACCTATCAAACAATTCTACTAAGAACAGTTTATCAAAAATTTAAATGAAATGATTAGTTTTATACTAAAGGACGCAAAAAAAATCCTAGCAGCAAACCATCAGGTGAGTAGAACGATGGTGGTTAGGAAAAGGGTGAGAGACATACCGGGCAAGAGTCAGTCTCTGGCCCGGGGTGTAAAACATTCTATGGAGATGCACACAGAAGCTAGCGACCGTCAGGCCATGCAGAGCAATGGGCAGAGAATCACCAGTGACCAAGTCAATGGCGGGGCACAGCCAACCCTACGGTTATCACCGCACTGTGAAGCATTAGAGGAACATGGGAGAACAACCTGCTCTGTCCCACGGATGAAAAGCTTGGCGTGTGTGCACTCGTGCGTGTGTGCATGCACACATGCCAGGGCTGAGTAAGGAAAAGTACTGAAGCAATACATGAGACTCATTTCTAACAACTCCTATTGGTTAAATAAAGCTTCATTACAACCTAAAAATGCAGAAGAAACTAGAGTTAAAGTGATACTAAGGAGGCTGGAGAGATGGCTCAGCAGTCAAGAGCACTGGCTGCTCTTCCAGAGGACCCTTGTTCAATTCCCAGCACCCACAGGGTGCCTCACAATCATTTGTAAGTCCAGGTAAAACACATATAAAAAATAATAATTTCTAGCCGGGCGGTGGTGGCGCACGCCTTTAATCCCAGCACTGGGGAGGCAGAGCCAGGCGGATCTCTGTGAGTTCGAGGCCAGCCTGGTCTCCAAAGCGAGTTCCAGGAAAGGCGCAAAGCTACACAGAGAAACCCTGTCTCGAAAAACCAAAAAAAAAAAAAAATAATAATAATAATTTCTAAAAATGTTCTTAAAACACATGTATCATTATTTCATCTAAAATAGCTGTTTTGTACATTTTAGTATTTCAGAATGGGGCTGTATCTTTTAATTAATAACATCATAATTTAATGACAGGATTTTTTTCTTATATTGTACATAAAAACTGGATAAAGAGCTCTTTCATCTTACAAATGAAAGAAAAAAAAGAACACAATTTAGCCTATTACTCCCTGTACTTATTTAAACAACAACAAAAATAAACCCAAAGCCAAAACAAAACCCAAAAAATCTCATTTTTGAAAAAGAGCACCAGGAAAATTCTTTTTAAAACAGCTTACTAATGTGTTTGTAGGCACACGTGTGTGCCACACTACAAGTGGTGATCACAGCAGAGCTTCTTCTCTGTTCCCGAGTCCCAATGTAGGCTCCAGGGGTCAACTGTCAGGCTTACACAGTCGCACGCTGAGCCGCTGAACCATATCAATGCACACACCCCCAAAACAAAACTCTTCTGAATTAACATTTCAAGAAACTTACTTGGTGGAACAGTGACTCTAGGTACTTCCGATTCTAAAGCACCCACTGTTTAAAACTGAGATATTATCCTAAGGAGTCTCTAAATTCTTATTAATTAAAATAGCAGTGGATTTGATCTGGAGAACAGAGAAGCAATCTGCTAAAGATACCCATACACCCTCAGAGCTCCCTATTTTAAAGGTATCTGAAATTTTAACTCCTATCATTTTTTGTCTGGTCTTTTCCCCGACTTCCATTAGAGACAGAATCTGTGTGTAAATAAAGGAGAATAATAAAGAAGGCTCCAAAAATTCTCCTGGGGAATGGCATCCTTCTCCAATCAGTGAGACAGGAAAGCTCCAGATTCTGGGAAACTCTGAGAAAGGCTGCCTTGGATGGGGAGTAGCAAAAAAGGGGGCTAAGGAGCTGGGGGATGTTCATTTCTAACTTCCCCACTGTGGAATCTAAAAACAGGAATGTACACTTTTACTCTGTGACTGCTCATGGAAATAAAATTCAGATTAATAAACATGTGTACAAATGTTCTGTTTGAAAATGGTCAAATGACAGCTATGGTCCAGTTATTGCCCACACTGCTAGCATGTTGCATATTCAATAAACCATACTTTAGAAATATGTATAAAACATGAGTTTGACTTCTAGTCTATTTAGAATGAAAGAACAAAATAACTTTCCAACTTATTACTAAAAATGTCATTCATAGTAATTGAAAACCAAAAACCTTGAGTCCTCTTCCTTCAAATACAAAAATTATATACTGACACTGTTAACCTACCTATGCTGAAAGAGAGACATTACTGGAGTTAAGTGCAAGTCCTACCTTTTCTTTGCAGCTGGAAAGCATGCTAATAATGCTAAGACACACTGACTGGACTGAGAGCGCTGGGGACCAGTCTTCTGTTAGAATGGATAAACAGATATGACCATTGCTATACACATGAGGATGGACAGGAATATTTTCACCAGTAAACATGACCTGAGAAGAAATAAAATGTCATTATCGCTCAATATTCTCTACTATTAAAAACTAAAGTATTGTCCACATTTAACAAGTATTAATTTTTAAGACATGAAATAAAAACAAATAGATTTCAGTAACAAATGATCACTATCACCAACAATAACCTCACTATATAAATAACCATGCAGTAGTAGGAAACCCTAGACTGTTTTCCTAAATTCAGTGTAATTTTCTAAATTTGTATTCTTTGTTCAAACCAGTGAATGGTAAAGTACATCCATTAGAATGTTTTTGTTTTTTCAAATTCTACGCATTCCTCACTGAATACTCATTATTCACACCTTTAATCCCAGCACTTGGGAGGCAGAGGCAGGTGGATCTCAGTGAATGTGAGGCCAGTTTGAACTTCGACACAGTAAGTTCCAGGTTAGCCAGGGCTACATACCGAAAACACATTTCAAAAAACAAAATACAATAAAACAAAAAACCCAATGCACTAAAATTCCAAAAGTAAGTAATTTTGAAACTATAACAAAAATCAAACAAAAACAAAAGCCTGTTTATGTGAAAAAGAAAAAAAAATGGATCTGAGTCTTACCTGGCTGTTCTCCCCGCTTTGCCTTTTACTCACTGAAGGTGTTCCTTTATCTTAGCTCAGCACAACTGGAAATGGTCCTCCCCTGCCCTAACTCTAAGTAAACCATGGAAGCATCCAAACAGAGAAGAGACTAAAGCCACGTGTCTTGAAATACCATTATGAATATTCCAACCCAATTCAAAGGCAGCAGATAGACTTAAGATCAGTTATGCATGTGTTTCTCTGGTTTGCAATGCTGGGTAAAGAACTCGGGTCCTTGTATGTACTACACAAGTGCTCTACTCTGAACTACAGCTCTAAGGGAAATTATTCGGTTTTATATAAAATTCAAATTAAATTAACTCACCAACCTTCAAGTAAATTTTACAACGTACCATATTAATTCTGTAGTCTAGCAGCCATTCCTAATTAGTGGTCTCGCCACAAAGAGAAAAACACTAGTATCACTTGAATAAAGATCTCGTTTAAAATTCACAATCAAGGGGCTGGAGAGATAGCTCAGCGGTAAAGAACACTGACTGCCCTTCCAGAAGACCTGAGTTCAATTCCCAGCACCCACATGACACCGCGCAACTCCCTGTAACTCCAGGATCCAACCCCCTCACACAGACATATGTGCAGGGAAAACACCAATGCACACAAAATAAAAATAAATTGAAAAAAAATCACAATCAGGCTGGGTGTGGCGGTGCACACTGCAGGAGCAACGTCTGGAAAGTTGACATTAAGGATTTGACTTGAGCCTAAAGGTCCCAAGGCAGCCTTGGGAAAACAGCAACAACAACCACAGTATAATCTCAAAGATGCCAATCCAGACCCATGAGTCCCCACATACATCCAACAGTTCTCGGCCCAGGCTTACAGAATCTCTCAACCCTTTCAAAAATACCAGCTACAGCAAAATACCAAGAAGGAGACATCAAACTTTAAATTATGACAAAAGCTGATGAAACACTTGTTGCTCTGTATGTATGGCAGGGGTCGGAGGGTTCTCCTTAAATGAAGAAGACGGTCAATGAAATCAGTTTGGCTAGAGTGTGGTATGCCCATATTTAATATAGAATAGATAATGTGAAATTAAAAATCAGCTAAGGTTTTATAGATATTTTAAATACCTAGCAACAAATCTGACTTTATTAAGATTCTTACAAATATTCACATTAATAAACCAATCGTCCTAAAGAAGCAGGACTCCGTCTATTAGTTGAAGTTAACAAAATAGTATTTTCCAACTTTCAAAGTGCGCTTTCCTTAGCCTTTAGGATCTGGTTGCCCACCTCTAGTCTCCCCACAGAAGAAGACTGGAAGCATAAAAGCCAAGTCTGATACTGCGAGAAGTCAATACTTGTCCTACCTACTGCAGAAGGCTCATCCTTTACGCCGAGAGGCTGCAGGAAGAAATGATACTTATTCAGCCCATGTCACTGCTCTTGCCCTAAAAACATCCTGCTTTGAGCAGTCTTAACTTTCACACTTTCTGAGTCTATTCACAACTGCTTTCTAGTGGAATTTGAGAACATGTTTATTTGTAGACTGTGTAACACATATCTAGAACAGGAATTTACAAATGTCACAGAATACAGATCTGTTCTGCTTATCCATTTATCCTAAAAAGTCATTTGACCAGCAGAGTGTTTTCACCGAGAACACAGGCAGTAACTTGAGAATTTACTCCCTGGTCACAATTATTTTTAAAGTATCCCCCCTTGCCCTATAAGGTCTCTTAATCAAGAAGTCTATGAGAATAGTGACAGTGGACCCCCACCCCCTCAAAAAAAGCCAAGTTTTTAACATGACTATTAGAAAACACATAGGCAGCCAGAAACAAAGGTCATCATGGCACGCTGACCAGTCATTCACAGAGCAAAGAAGAAAGCAGTGTTCTCCTTGGAGAGACATTGTTACCAATGTCTGTGAGCCAGGAACTGTGCATGTACCAAAAGGAAATCCAGACACAAGGCAAAGTGGGGAGTGGCAAGGGATGGCCCCTAAGGCAGAAGCAGCAGACTGTCTACAAGCAGAGCAGAGGGCAAAACAGCTCTAACATCCGAGGCCCAAACAAAAATCCAATCAAGTCCCCTACCGGGTGCAGTGGATGAGTCTGTAACTCCGGTACTCAGGAGGCTGAGGCAGAAGAGGATCACTGCTAAGTGAGCTGCAGGCTACCCTGTGCTGTGTCGTCAGACTGCCTTAAGAAACCAACCCAGAACAAATCAGTTCATCTCTGCTGTGGATGACTGATTGATAAGTAAAGTGCGGATTGGCCAGTAGCCAGGCAGGAAGTATAGGATAGGCAGGACAAACAGAGAGGAGAATTCTGGGAAGTAGAAGGCTGAGTCAGGAGAGGCCAGCCCACTATCCAGGGAGCAGCATGTAACAGGCACACAGGTAAAGCCACGGAATATGTGGCAACATCTAGATTAACAGAAATGGGCGGAGTTTAAGTGTAAGAGCTAGTCAGTGGTAGGCCTGAGCTAATGGCCAAGCAGTTTTAAATAATATTAGCCTGTGTGTGTTTATTTGGGTCTCAGCGGCTATGGAAACGCAAGGACACAGGAAAACTTCAACTACAAATCTCAATTAGGCTTTTAACACATTCCATGCAAGACAGATGCAGCCAGTGTGAGCGTGAAGCGACCAGCCAGGGTAACCACTTGCACGTATTAAGCAGCCCTTAGGGCCTGGGTACTTCAGAAGCTTGTCTAAGCAGGGAAAAGATGCTTCACACCAGAGATGAACTCTTGAAATAAAGTAAAATATTTTTACAACAGTATGTTGCTGTTAAGGCATTACCGGTCTTTTCCATTTTCACAGAGTTTCAGTATAATCTCTGTCCCTCTGGTTCTCTGCCCATTATGAAGGGAAGAGTAACCAAGGCTAACTTTAAGCACATACTGTTTTGTATCTTGTTTAAACCCTGTATAAGTCAAAGGAGAAAAATGGGCATTTCTGCTGTTTTAATGCAGGTGATCAAGTACTGAAAACTCAAAATGATGTTATTTCTGGATTTAAAAAAAAAAATGGGGCAGTTCCACATAGCTTATAAAACTATCTTGGACTGATATAATCAGACCACTGAGTACAAGTGATTTGAAACTACAACTCAATTTACTTGGCCTCGGGTGAAAATTAGTTATACAATCACACTGTTAAAAGTTAACTGAAAACTATCCACGTTCCTTGCTGCAGAAACCCAACCAAAGAAAATGGGATTTCAGAGGAAAGTATTTACTTTACTCTAGGATTTAGAATTAGAACTTAGAATCCCAAGTCTGCCTAAGAAGCCATCTTCAAATATCCCTACATTTTTAAACACCTCCTTTTATTACTGTAGCTCATTTTCAAAAGCAGGTAAGAGGGGCAGGAGAGATGGCTCAGCAGTTAAGAGCACTGACTGCTCTTCCAGAGGACCCGGGTTCAATTCCCAGCACCCCCATGGCAGCTCACACCTGTCTGCAATTCCGGTTCCAGGGGACCCTTACACAGACACACATGCAGACAAAACACCAATGCACATAAAATAAAAATAAATAAGTAAGCAAACCAACAAACTAAATAAATAAAAAAAGAGTAACTAAGAGCTGTGCATCTTGAATAAGCCATGATGTAGAGTTGTGACTTTCCCTTTAGAGATCTCATTAAAGAATTAAAAAAAAAAGCCGGGCGGTGGTGGCGCACGCCTTTAATCCCAGCACTCGGGAGGCAGAGCCAGGCGGATCTCTGTGAGTTCGAGGCCAGCCTGGTCTCCAAAGCGAGTTCCAGGAAAGTCGCAAAGCTACACAGAGAAACCCTGTCTCGAAAAACCAAAAAAAAAAAAAAAAAAAAAAAAACCAAGAAAGAATTAAAAAAAAAAAAAGTAGGTAAGAGTTAAAATATAACTATATGCAGAATAATTTTGGAAGACCACATCCAGTATAAAAATTTAATCAGACCAATCTTAGAATAACTTGAATACCATGAATGTAGTATCTATTAAAATCCAACCCAAAAAGCATCAAGAGTGATGAACACCTACCTAGACTATGAATGACCACAACTCAAGTTAGGGGGAGAGAGAAGAGCCATGGAGTCTCCCTGTTGCCTAGGCTGGTCCACCCCCCTCCCAGCGCCCCTGCCCCAGGCTTAAGCATTTCTCCTATAGCAGCTTTAAAAGTACCTGGGACAACAGGCATGAGCAGTGAGTCAGGCTTGACTCACCACTCAAATTCGACATATTCTAACAATAGTTCAGTCTGATAGCTGCCGATGTCTACAATCATCGAATACAAAGCAGTTAAGTACTCTACACATTTAACTTCATACTTCAGGGTGTCTACACAGTTTACTAATGCTTGCCATTATTCCTAACAAGAAAATAAGGAATGGAGTTCAGGTAACTTTCATATACAAAATGTAAGAATTTCTCAACATCAAGTCC